GGGGGGGGGGGAGAAGGGAAGAAAAACAGAAGAGAGAGAGAGAGAGAGAGAGAGAGAGAGAGAGAGAGAGAGAGAGAGAAAGAAAAATAAAAAAGAAAATCTGATTTTATTTTGACAAAAACCCTTTTTGAGTTATTTACGGTTTTGCCACCGAAGGAAATTTCATCGCCAAAACCTCGGTATAACTCCGATTCAAGCCTACCGCCTGTCCACGAATTCATCTCAGAACCACCTACGCAACCAAACCACTTGTGGTCCCAAAATCCTTCCGGACAAGAAAATGACCGAAAGACCCTACCCCAAGGGTAGTTTCGTAATTTCATATTTTAATTTAGTTTTACCATTCGCATTGGAAATTAAACAGAGTCGGGGTGTTACAGGTGCAATATTGACTAAGTATGAAAATGGTTTTTCGGAATAATTATTTTCTCAAGATAATTTTTTACGGCTTTTATTCCTTGTACATCAAATAAGAAAACTTGATTTTATGGGATTTTAGTATGAAGTATATATTGACTTAATGAGCCATCATTTTTAGCCTAAATTGTATTTTGCACTAAAACCGAATTTTCATATTTTTATTTGGTGGGAATTTAATTTTCTAGTATTTTTATTTGAATCCAAATGGGGAGGTACTTCCTTATTTACATTGTAAACTTAAGTAAATGAAGTAATATAAAAATAAATAAAAGTAAAAAGACAGACATTTACTTAAATGTTGAAAATGGAAATAAAGTAATCTGTACACCAGTTGAGCAAATGGGCAATTTGAAGCACCTACAATGGTTTTTCCGGCGAAATGAGGTGCATCTGCACCTCCTTACTCCTTAATAGATCCGCTCCTGCCCTTAGGTTGAAGAAACCCACTCCACTGCACAAATCCAGCCCGAACAAATGGTGGGCTCCACGAAGACTGGGCAGGTTTAAAGGCAAGAATAGCCCAAACTGTTGCTTGAGAGCGCTGACCTCAGCGAAGAAAAAAAAAATTAAAAGTTCCAAAAAAATACCAAAAAAATCATAATCTTTTTTTATACACACCTAGCAATTTTTTAATCATTAACCTCATACATAAAAATAAAATTAATCTTATGTGAATGGTATCTACCATGGTTTGCCAAAACAATGGGTGAAAAAGCCAAAAAATAATTGCTAGGGCAAACACTGTTCACCCTCACTTTTTGCCATAACACCATGGATGGAAATTATCGCGCAATTGATCCTTTTGAAGACGCGGTGGAAGGGATAATTTGAAGAAGAAAAAAAAAAGACATCATAAAATTTTCTTTTGGGTCTTGTTGTGAGGCGTAAATAGAAATAAGAACTGCCATGGAAAAAATTACACAAAAAGTCACTCTTTCTAAAGCCCAAGTTAGTTTGGGTGGTCCCAAATACCAGTATCCTCTCCCAAAACCCAATTCCAAAAGGATAAGAAGACCCTCTCACTCTTCTTCCTCTCTCTGTCTCTATATGTGTCTGAAGTGTGCAATTGAGCAACTCATGCTATGCGTTTGAGTGCATAGCCAGAAGCAAAGAGAGATGTCAATCCTTTCAATTTCAGCTTCATCTTCTTCTTCCCTTCTTCCCAATGTCTCATTCTCCTCCTCAAAATGCTGCTCTTCATTTCTCACCCCACCAACCCACACCAACAGCAACCCATTTCTGCCCATTGTGAAATCCAAGAAGAAGAAACCAGTGGGCGTGACCATGAGCGTGGAGGCAGGCATAGGAGTTATGGCCACGAAGCTCGGCATGATGAGCTTCTTCGAACCCAACGGCAAAGTTGTCCCAGTCACAGTGGTGGGTTTCAAAGAAGGCAACATAGTGACCCAGGTCAAAACCGAGGCCACAGACGGATACGATGCCGTTCAGGTGGGCTACCGCAGAGTCAGGGACCGAAAACTAACGAAACCCGAAATGGGTCATCTCCAGAAGGCCGGTTCAATCCCCCTGCGCCATCTCCAGGAGTTTCGGCTCCAGAGCATTGATGGGTTCGAGCCAAACCAGAAGCTTTCGTTCGACGAGCTCTTCAACGAAGGAGACATTGTTGATGTCTCTGGAACCACAATCGGGAAAGGGTTTCAGGGTGGGATTAAGAGGCACAATTTCAAGAGAGGGCAAATGACTCATGGGTCCAAAAGTCACAGAGCTCTTGGGTCAATTGGGGCTGGAACGACGCCAGGGCGGGTTTACAAGGGGAAGAAGATGCCTGGAAGAATGGGAGGGACCAAGACCAAGATCAGGAAGCTCAAGATTGTGAAGATTGATAAGGACCTCAATGTTGTTATGATCAAAGGTGCTCTTCCTGGTAAGCCTGGCAATCTTCTTCGCATAGCTCCAGCTAAGATTGTGGGCAAGAACATTCCTAAGAGTTAGTTCTATTTTGGAATTTTTTCTTTCTTTCTTTCTTTTTTTTTTTTTGAATTTTTCTTTAGTTTATTTGGTTTTGTGAATTTTGTATTGTCATTGACTCTCTCATATGAATGTCTTACTTCTCCTTTAATTAGTGCTTTGTGAATGTTTGCTTGGTATGATATTTGGAAGCACTTCACTTGACTGGGGGAACAAGAATCACTTTTTATGTCATCTTAAATTCAATTAGTGTGTTGTGAAAATGCTAATCTTTTGTGAAATTATGTTTGATTTAAGCGGCAAATATGAGGGCAATGTGTGATAGAAACCAACAATTTTGGCCCAAGGATGAATTGTCTCGTCTCCTCAAAACTAGGAAATCAATTGAGTAGAAGCATGATCTGTATTCTGTCTGTCTGATTTTTCTGTATCATCACTCCATGATCTGGTTCCATACAATGAGAGATCTTTTGTCGTGTTTGTTAATAGCTTATGGTCATGTTTGGTGCTTAAAATTAGATTGGGTTTGGTAACTCATGAGACTAGATGCAAGTAGAGTTGAAGAATTTTTCATTTTGTGGGGATTAGACGGGATAAGTCATAAGGTGTCGATACCAATCATTTGGTGGGCTTTGGTTTCTACAGAGTTGAGTTACCCTGCTTTGTTATATATATGCAGAGTAGATAATGTGGCAGGGCTGTTTATTATTGTATTGCAATTTCTATGCTTTGCTGGGTAGCTGTTAGGCTGGGTTCACCTTGTCCTTTGTCACTTTTTGTAAATTATGTTTGCACTCATTTAGCGTTCATAAGTTGGGTCAAGATAAATTATGAAGTTGGGGATGGGAGAGACATTTAATCAAAACCCAAGTACATCAGCGAAGGTCTTTGGGTCAAGATAAAACTGCAATCATCCCCTGAGATGAAAGCTTTCTGGGTTACAGCTACATTTTTTGGGTGCATTGGGATCAGATTGAACTCGTGACGTATTCTAACCCTAACCCATTTCCTTACTCCCTCACCACCTGAACGAGTCCTAGGGGCTTTTGCAGGTAGAGAGTGGAAGAGCTGAAAGGTTTTCTTTGTAATATACAAACTGTAATTTAAGATTTCAAGCCAAAAAGGAAACAAGATGGCCTATACCCTAATGTAGTGCCTAAACGTTTATCTTTTATGGTCTCTTCTCTTGTATAATATCCTCGGCGGTCAAAATCCTTCCCCTCCCCTTTGACCAACTTTGTTAGAAAATAAAAGAAAAAGGAAAAAAAAAAAGGAAAAAGGACTAATCTTCCATCATACAAGGCTCATCTCATCAATTGAGGAGATTATGTTTACCAATACATCGTCAACCACATTATTTGAAGACAAATGTTGACCATTTTACAGAGAACTTCAACAGAGTACACAAGTAGTTTTTCTTCCTAATAGAGGCGCCTGCAGAGGGTGAGGCCATCGCCGATGGAAACATGAGCCAATTCGATACGGGAATCAGCAGCTAGAAAGCTGTTCAATTCCCTCGTATGTTTTCTGGATGGCCTTAAATGTTCCTCTACCATTTCCTCAGGCTCCGCAACTGAGCCAAACCACAATGTGTTATCGAATGCTATTATCCCACCAACCTTAACAAGCTTTATCAGCAGCTCATAATATTCAATGTACGTGTCCTTGTTAGCATCCACAAATGCAAAATCAAAGCTCCCTTCTTCGTTCCCCTGCTTGCTTGTTTGAAACTCCAAATCAAAATACAATTCTATCTATATGAACCAATGATAAAACTAAAACTATTTCAGGCTAACGTTTTCTCGTAGGTTTATGTTGCTAGATTGTGAATCCGAACTACACCTTCAAGTAAAGTGTCAACTTAATCAATAACATAGATTGATGGTCTGGCAACATACAACGATGAATGCTTTTTCAGAAATCCTTCTTTGAAAAAATTGGGCACATGTATAAGGTACAGACTTACATTGGTAATGAGATCATTTAGGATGGAGAAGGCATCCGACTGAAAGAAGTTAATCTTATGCTCCACCCCAGCCTTCCGAATGAACGGCAATCCGAACTCATAGGGTTCTTTATTCAGATCGATTGCTGTAATCTGAAAAAATTCATGTTGAAACTCCAAAACTAATTACTAATGTAAGTCAAGATGAAAAGTTTTATTTATATATTATTTTAATGAAAATTTAAAATTAAAATAAAAAAGAATGAAAAAGGAAGAATACTTTTCCGTCAGAAGGCAGTGCAAGAGCTGTAGTAAGAAGAGAATAGCCAGTAAATACTCCGAGCTCCAGTGTCTTCTTTGCATTCATGAGCTTCAGAAGCATGGAGAGCAACAGCCCTTCATCAACAGGCACATTCATAATGCTCCTGCAATTAATTAGATCAAACTGTAATTATTGAGGTTAAAGTTGGTATTTTCTGAAAAGTTATATTAGTTTACTTGATCAAGAAATTTATTAGTTCTGGAAAAAAAAAATCAAGGAATTTATTAGTTGATTAAAAAAAAATCAAAATAACTTACCAATATTACTAAAAAAAATTATCTTTATGATAAGACCTTGTATTAATTAATTTATTAGAAGCAATAGTCTTAAATTAAATTAAATATACGTATTAGACGACATTCACTCATCAAACTATAATCAAATAAACAGATGAACACAATACTTTCTGTAAACAATAAAAATATTAACGATCATTCAATTAGTAAAAATTTGGCTAATTTTTCGCAAGGGTGATATTGGAATGATGACCTAGAAAATGAACAGTTTGGATCATGAGATGACATCTTGGAGTAGGCCCAAATGAACTTATTAACCAACTAGTGCTTAAACGCTCTTGTATATACATATATACTCGTTAATGTAAATGCAAATATTCAACATACCTGAACTGGTATTTCTCGACAGTGGCTTCCCTTAGTTGCTTCAACTGCTCATGTTCTCTTGGATAGCAGCTTGTTTCAAGGATGTACTATCACAAGATAGGCCAATGGTTATCTTGTGAGGGAAAGTAAACCTAAAAGTTTAAGGCTAGTAATTTAATTTCACTTGTCACACTGTAACTATGTCGTTTCTTGTCTCCATTTGGTTACTGTTGTGGTTTAAACTCTAAAGAAAAATAAATATAAAATCATGAACCAGCTGAAACAAGTTTATGAAGAAACACTATAGCTCTTCACACCCACAGTTAATAAATAATTAACAATGAAAATTGCAAGGAAAACAAGAAATTATTTCAGTCCTAGCAAAACTGCTTCTTTAATCACTCAATCGTCCACACGAAAAAAAAAATTGAAAAAAAATTTCAATCGTCTATGGCCTTGTCAACAGCATTTGAAATTGAGGAAAAGAAAATGAACCTTTAGAAGAGCTGGGGTTTTGAGGATGATCTTCTCTTGTTTTCTTGCTTCCATCCTCTTTCTCAACAAAAACTAAACTATTCTGTAAGTTTTTGTGAAAAAAGAATCAATTCTTAATAACTCTCCATCTTACCTTTTATTGCGAATCTCAGCATAAAGCAACTGCGAATACCATTAAGAACTTCATGTCATGTGATTTCGAATGTAAAGAACCTATTCTGCCTGGATTAATCCATCTTTCCTACAACCAACTGGTTTTAATTAATATCATATACCATATTACTACGAGTTCATGTATCTCTCTTATCACGTGATAAATCACTTGACCAACGAACACGTAGTTATATAAAAGAAACCTCACACACACCCTTCGGTTAAATTTTTGTGTCCGTATATCAAATCACAAGTGTTGAAATTGTTTTGTTTAAGGGTCAATTTTGTTAGAGAATTTATACCCCAAAAAAAGGACTAGAGACGGCTAAATTATAGAGATAAAGGATATAGTAGCACAAATCAAAATTAGAAACCAATACATAAAAAAGATTCCAACATCATACAAAGCTCATCTCATCAAGTGAGGAGAATATGTTGAGAATATTAGGGTTCATCAACCACATTATTTGAAAACAACAGCTTGATTCATTAGAGAAGTTCAACTGAGCACACTGAAGTTGAAGTTGTTATTACTTCCTACTCGAGGCGCCGGCAGAGGGCGAGGCCATCATCGGTGGTAACATGAGCCAGTTCGATACGGGAGTCAGTGGCTAGAAAGCTGTTCAAATCCCTCGTATGTTTTCTGGGTAGCCTTAACGTTTCCCCCACCGTCTCCTCAGGCTCTGTCACTGAGCCAAACAACAATGTGTTGTCGTATGCTATTATTCCGCCAACTTTAACAAGCTTCAGCATCAGCTCATGATATTCAATGTAGTTGTCCTTGTTAGCATCCACAAATGCATAATCGAAGCTCCCTTCTTCCTTCCCCTGCTTGATTGTTTAAAACTCCAAATCAAAATACAATTCTATCCATATGAACCACGAATTCCGGATAATGTTCTCTCGTAGACTTATGTTGCTAGACTGAAAATTTGGACTACATGTTCAAGTAAAGAGTCAACTTATCATCACTAGCCTAAATTGATCGTTTGGCAACATACGATAGTTCGATAAGAGATTAATTTTCAAACTACTTGTACGTTGTTTGTTAAACAAAAATACGTACGTGTGTAATGTACAAACTTACATTAGTAATGAGATCATTTAGGACTGAGAGGGCATCCGAGTGAAAGAAATTAATTTTATGGTCCACACCAGCCTTCCGAATGAACGGCAATCCAAACTCGTAGGCTTCTTTGTCTGGATCGATTGCTATAATCTGAAAAATTCATGTTGAAACTCCATAACTAATTATTAATGTTAATGAAGTATACATCAAACCAAGCTGAAAATTTCTATTTATTTATAATTTCAATGAAAATTGACAACAAAAAGAAAGAAAGAAGAATAAGAATACTTTTCCATCATGAGGCAGTGCAAGAGCAGTAGTAAGAAGAGAATAGCCAGTAAATACTCCGAGCTCTAATGTCTTCTTTGCATTCATGATCTTCAGAAGCATGGAGATCAGCAACCCTTCATCAACAGGCACATTCATAATGCTCCTGAAGTTGGTATAGGGCTCATTCTTGTAAGACCTTGGTTTAATTTTTTGCTTATATACACACACACACAAAGGAATACACAAAGGAGTGCTCAGCTGTAATCAATTAGTAAGTTAATATGGTACTAACTGCTTGTTTGGGCCTACTTTATGATGTAATCTAATAATCAGAACCATTCAAATTTTTTTATCATCATTCAAAGATTGTCTGTACAAAATTTCATCCAAATCCGAAATCATTCAGTATTTATCGAAAACATTGTGTTCGTCTATTTATTTGATTAGAGTTAGATAACTAAACGCGTTTTAATTTGAGTGAATTTTTGCAATAATGGTTTTTCATTGATGATCTAAAAAGTAAACAATTTGAATCATTAGATAAATTGTGAAGTGGGTCGAAACGAGTGCTTAGCGCCATATTGAGTTACTAATTAACTAGCGCTCGATCGCTTATTTAGTTAATATAAATGCAAATATTCAACATACCAGAACTTGTATTTCTCGACAGTGGCTTCCCTTAGTAGTTTCAACTGCTCATGTTCCCTTGGGTAGCAGCTTGTGTCGAGGATGTACTGCAATAACACAAGAAAGGCCAATGGCTATCATGTAGGGGAAAGTAAATCTAAAAGTTAAGGTTAATTTAGTAATTTGATTTTACACCCTACTAGTTTTATCTTTCAGCTCTATGCTTGTAGTAATTATTTATTTATTTTTAATCACAGAGAAACTTCGTTAGATAAATTTCAACAATGCAATCACAGACATCAACATGACATCTAACATACAAATCCCAAGCGGACAACAAATTAACATGCTAAAAGCTTTAAAAATATAAATTCAACGGTCTATGATCTGTGTTAACCAGATTGGTATACAGATAGGAAAAGAAAATGAACCTTTAGAAGAGCAGGGCTTTTGAGGATGATCTTCTGCTCTTGTTTGCCTTCTTCTGCCATGCTCAACAACAACAGCAACAACAGCTCTATCTCCAAAATGTGAGAAAACTTTGATGCTTCTATATTTTTCTGTTCGTTGCTTTCTTTTACAAATTCTTTGGTTGTTTTGAAACCATTTCTGACAGCATATTTAATTTTTCCGTTACCATTTGTCCTGTGCCCACCTGTTACCCATCTAACGTTTTCACATCTGTTCTTCCACTTAACTCTAACATAACGGTGGGTGGGGGTTGTTGACGGATTGGGTGTGGATGGGAGTTCGATGTTGGGTTTTTTTATTTATATTTATTTTTATTTTTTTTAGCAGAAGTTATTTCTTATCCAAGCCCCAAACATGGCTTCAGAGCCTCTGCCTTGTCTTGCAGTAATTTTGATTGAGATCTGTTGATCCACTAGTCCACAGGACTTAGGAATGAAGAAAGGATTTGGTTGGTCTGACTCTGAGCTAGGTATTCATGGAGCATGGATCAATGGAGTATTCCAGCAAACAACGTTACTGGGTGTTAGAAATCAAACTCCGTTAATTTAATTAAACTTAACACTGTTAACTTAGAGTTAAGTGGAAGGACAAATGGTAATAGGAAAATTGAACTCCGTTAATTGTCGTTGCATGTGTGATTTAATGTAATTGTTACAAAAATCTCAAAAATTAAACTCTTCTAACGGCAACTAACGTTTATATAAGCCAGTTACGCAATTAAATCTTCCCCGACCTTTATGTGCTTTTTACTTCATAATAAATTGGCCTTGATCAACGTTGAGATGAAAATATTAAACGTTCTCTCTAACTTCAATGCTCAAAATTTTGACAAAAACATTGATCCATCTAGTGGAAAGAGTCTTGACTTACGGATCTGGGATCTCAAGTTAAAACTCACCTCCTTTAATATCACTTGTATAATAAATTTTGACAAAAAAAAAAAAAAAAACACTTCAATGCTTAAAATCAATGTGAAGCCATGTCCTCTTTAAGAGCTTCTCACTCCTCACTTATGTAAATAAATAAAAAGTTGTTTGTAGGAATACAATAACCATATAGTTTCTAAAGTGCGAAATATACTTTTTAAGGACAATTTCTTACATGCTTCAACCTAAAATGTTGTCCTAATAAGCATTTACCACATAGCTTGGCTCTTGATAATTGAGGGGAGAATTCCTCCTGACATGGTGACGTGGTGACCTCAAATTCAACATATGTTCTTTTTTTTTTTTTTTTTTTTTTTAAATTTCCAAATACGTTTTGTGGATCATTTTAACTATTCAATTTTTATTGCAAAGCTTTTTTTTACTCTATCAATGCATATCCGATAAGTATTGGATTAGATTATTGTCGAATTTATTTTAAGACAAAAAATGATTAAATTTTCATTATTAACTTAAATAAGTAAATAATTTAAGTGTACTTTCAATGCATAAAAAAATCAAATTACTCTTACATTACACACAAGTAATATTTATAAAACTATATAATAATAAAAAAGTAAGTTCTATATTGTAGGTAGTCGGATCGGATAAGCTTTAATCCATATTTGATTTGTTATGTTAAAGAATTATCTAATTCCGATCACAATCAGATTAAAAGTCTCAATCTATATTCTATTATTTACATCGAATTTGGATCACAGTCAGATTAAAAGTCTCAATCTATATTCTATTATTTACATCGAATTCGGATCAAAATCCGATCCATTCACATGTCTAGAACAAGAAAATAAAAATGGCTGAACAAGTTTAAAATGGACATTATAAAACTTAGGGGTGTGTTTAGAAAAATTGTTGATGCAAAAAAAAAAAGGGAGTTTCACTAAAACACCCAAAATGGGAGCTAAAATTATAAAAAAACCCAACACCCAAAACACTTTATAAACACACCCAAAACCCATCATTACACACACTTAAAACCCATTTATAAACACACCCAAAAAATATACAATTATTGACTTTGGGGTTGATTTTGGGTGTGTTTCTATGTTTCAATAGTGTTTGGGTTTTTTTATAAATACATGTCTAGAATTGGGTTTATTTATAAATTTGTAAAAAAAAAAAAGGTTCTAGAGGAAAAGAAAAGGGGTGAGAGAGAGAGAGAGAGAGTATAACATGTATGAATGTGCTAACAAAAACATGCCATACAAGCCAGCTGTTGCTGGTTATGTAATAAACGAGCTCACACCAGATGATACAGGACAAGGAAGAGAACAAGTAGAAGAAACGATCCCACACCGAACCCGAACCCATCACCACCCTGGTCAGAGCTACTTGTTTGATGAACTGTAACCGGAGAAGACATCCCAAATGCGGGAAAAAAATAAGAAACAACTTGTAAAGCTAGCAAAACTAAAAGAAGAAGAAGCATCACAAAAGCAAAGGTGGCTCTCCCCTCTGTATCTGCCCCTAATTGGAACAACGACACTGAGATTTCCAAGAGGGATACTAAGGTAGGTTTGCAGATGATCAAGCCCAATGCTCCTACCATTAGAGAAGGAACAAGTGGTGAAGGCCCTCTGCTCCCCATTGCAGTCTTCAAGCTCAGTTGCTCTCTATTTACTTGTTTTAAGAAGCTCAAAGCAAGCAAAGGAGGAGATATTGGAGAGGAAGGCTTGTTTGTTAGTAGCAGAAGCAGATCACTTCTAAAACAAAATCACTCTTTTTTGTTGCATATCTGATGGTTTGTTGAGCGAAGCCAACGTCTCTACAGGAATCTGTGTTCTTTTTTTATTGTTGTTATTTGACGTATAGGATGTAGCTGAGCCTTGGCAGCCAACCACAGGATTTTTCATGAACATATACTACTTAATTTACATGGATTAGTATAGTATAGGAAACAGCTTCTTAACTACTTATTTTCTCTTTCCTTGGTCTAAGTTTAGTTGAGTTAAATAATACTGACAATAGGACATGTTTTCCAATGCCTTCAAGAAAGGGCGCTTTGATGACAACACTAACGAGAAATTCAAGATTCACACGAACGAAATCTGGAAATGGATAAATGTTTCATTCTGCTCACATAATATAACAGCTAAAAGGAGTCAACCTTTTCAAATATTCTGTGTGTAGAGAGAGAGAGAGAGAGAGGAGTTACTGACGAGATGTGTTCATTTCCATGTTAAAGATCCAGATACAACAAATATGTAGATAAAAAAAGAGATGGCCTTTTAGTGATCTCCATATTACCTAATAATACAGTAAACTTTTGTGGTCAATAGATGAGTGAGAAATAGGAGAAACACGCTGATCAGCTACTGGTATATGACTAAGTTCACCAAACTACGTTTGTTAACCTGCACTCTCTCTGCAACTACAATATTTCCAACACTGTGTACAGCTGACAACTAAGAGATGCAGATTTAGCTATTCTCCGTTTACACCTTGAATTACAATGTAGAATTGTACCGGAGATGTTGCTCGTAAAAATCGATCAACTGGAAAAGAGGAGAGAGATTAGCCAATAATTGTTAGCTACTGGCGCCATTGCAATGTTGTCAATAAAGAATGTATATCCCGTTTCACAATAATCACTTACCAAAAGTGGATGATTAACCTTGAGAAACTTGTTATCCACTACCACTTCTGTTCCGTCAGACCTATAACAAGGCAACCACATATAAAAACGTCATGAAGCAGGTGAAGAGAACTATGTGATACAGGTTAAAAGTTGGATCTGTAAGCAATTGAAGGATCTGGAATGGCTAGACTTTCCAGATTTCATTTCTATACAAATAAAAACAATAAAGAAGCAGCAGCCAAACATGTTGACAATAAAATGCCAAATTGCAATTTTCTAGGAAAATACTGTAGTAGTAGCGTTAAATAGGACTGCATTACATGCTAAGATAGCTCAAACACTGAATAGTCCATAAACAATCAACTCCCACAGGATCTAATTTTCAGCCAGCCAATTTCTCTGATGAAGGTCATAAAAAGATAAATAGTTTAAGCCATTAAAGACTTTCGCAGTTAATGCAATGGATGTCATGCATGTCAACCAACAACATGTCCAAACATCAGAATCACACGAATCCTCAAATACTGTAGTTTGCACAAGTTATCACAAGAAGACTAGGAAATAAGTCATCTTCCGCTGAACATTAATATTAAGAATGTAATTTAAGTAAACCATAAGCTTTCAGAACAAATTGCTTAAAATATAAGCTTTGATAACATTTGAAGAAATGTAAAAAAGTTGCAGATTGCCAAATGTGCCTGTGCAATGACTCTATAGAACTGCCCAGACTCAGAAGCCATCAGGAACAAAGCATGTGCAGCTACTCTGATATCATATGTTACTGCTCCTAAGCAATAAATTACTCAAGAACTTTTACTACAAGTAAACTACACATTTTCTCACTTCAACTACAATGGGGTGATAGTGGTCAAAGGATTAGTCTGAAGATCCACCAAGAATGTTCTATTCTAGCCCACATACAGAGTGATGGTCCAATTAAAACATGCAACACGTGCCAGAACTTACTAAAATCATGAAAACAGTCAAACAAATAGACTGTTTCAACCAAAGATGGAAGACCTATTAGAACTAAATTCTTTTGATTAGACCACAAGAACTAAATTATAAAAGTATAAATACATTTTTAGGTCTGACTTGTGACCACAATAAAATCGAACAACGTAACACAAACAAATAAATCATGCTTGGCACACGTGTCACAAAGAATGGTGCAGAAAAGGATAAGAGGATTGGGCAATACTCCTTGCATGCACAGTGTAGCTTTGTATTATATCAGAGGAAGAATCTTAATTCACATACAAAACTGTGCTTCCCAAGTGATCCAAATTCCAAAAGGAACAACGGTGAAGCATAAGAAAAAGCTATGAGGTAGGGCTTACGAGTGCTTCTACAAGAGTCATATTCATATCAGATTCTCTCTCTCTCTCTCTCTCTCCAAGCTTGACAACCTTTCCAATGTGTAATAGTTTAAGAGATGATCTCACCCACTCCACCAACCCCTCAACACCACCTTAGTTCAAGGGAGAGGTGATGCCCTTTAGTCCAAAGTCTTCAGTATTGGACCAAGTATGTTTTAAGTGCATTTTTGCTGCCTTTATGAAGTCTAAAGCCTTACCTAATTCGTATCTAATTCCCAAGACAATTGTATTATTATCATTCAGGACTATATATGTGATTAATTTGGTACATGACTGGAATCATGTCTATTTCCAAATATGAGTTGGTGTCATAGAGCCTGTAGTTTGCGTGGGAGGCATAATGGATTTTCACAAGGGAAATTCCTCATGCTCTTATCAAATATCTAAAAATGATCGAGGTGCATTAATCAGCAACATAGTAACAATTCCAAATTCAGAACTCCTGCTAGAAAAAGATGGTATGAATGATCAATGCAATTTGAAAAATATCAAATGTTTTAACATCATAATTTCAGTAATATTTTCTGCACAACATTGCTCTATGTATGATATTAGAGAAACTAGTATTCAAGGAGAATGCTCTTAATAAGCCATCTAGACATATGAGAAGAAGAACTAATTTGTAGATGATTACCACAAAACTGTATGTATATATAAGAATCTTTTAGTTGTATGCTTGGCATCTTTTAGATGAATAATGAATTAGGAAAATAAATAGCTCATTGAAATGCTAACAGTAACTGATATGTAGCACTGGTAGGCACATATAACCCAGTCATGGCACAATTTGGTAGCGGACATTGGAGATGGTTATTATAAAGGGGCGGCAATTTCCACCGAAGGGAGTATGCATTTTCTTTTTATGAACCAGAGGAAGAAAAAAGGTACTAATGGGGTATGCATTTTATTTAACCTATTCAAAACATAAACTATTCGTAAATCTAGTCAGAATATATACGTAAAGTTATCCTCAAAGATGGAATAGAAATATAAATTGAAGTTTAAGACAGACCTCATTGCCTTAAAGGTGACTGACACATCCTGGACATCATTTGACACGGAAGTTGAATACCCTATTGGCTTGATAATCTTGGTGATACGCACTGCACTTTTGGATTCATCAATCTTATTCCTGCGACTTGAATTTTCCCCAGCATAATCAAGATTTTCTGCCCCTGATTGATTAACTCTGCCACCATATCTAACACTGACTCTGCTTGTTGCATTTGGTGTAGCACCCACTTCAGACAATTGCGTCTCTTGTTTAAACCTCTTCACAGAACCAGACTTCCTTCTCTTAGCTCCAGTATTGCGATTGCTCTGTACTGGTTCTGCATAGTCGACCTTGGAAAGACCATTAACTTCAGATGCCTTTGCTTCTTGGAAATGTACAGAAAGTTTATCTGAATTGACAATATTAGTAGATATTGTTGCTCTGAGCTCACTAAGCTTTGGATCATACTCATTTTCCTCTCTCCTTTCACCAATTTCTTGGGAAGCATTTGAACACCAATTCTCAGCATCAACTTTCTTGGTGGTTTCAGTATTATTGACATGCCCATCATTCTCTCCTTCAAATGCTACGCCCACAGACTGCTGAGGGGGCGGAAGATCAACAAGGCTCGGGCAGGTGAGAGCAGCGGAGGACAGAACTTTATCAACCATGCTGATTTCCACATCTGTCACGTTGTAGATAGGATCAGTAGAACGCTGCTGCCTCTTCTTGGGTTGAGAATGAGGAGTCCCGGACTTGCGCTTGCGCTTCCGATGCTTTCCAGCACGCAAGCTTTAAAAAAGACATAATAAAAATAATAAAAATGAAACTTAAAACTTTGCATTTGTTGCTCAAGCTACCTATAAAAAAATGAACCCAATCAGCATAACCAGAATTTTAAAATGAGTCAGTTTTTAATATCTTTGTAAGCTCAAGCACTGCGAATTGTTAGTGTCCTTTTACTCCTGTTTTTGGAAAACCAAATGAATAACTAGAGGGAAATGGAAGAAAACTAAACAAAATAATACCTTTCCTCAAATGCTTCGATAACATCAGCAATTGAATGGAGATTATCCAAGGGCTCCCATGTATTGTCAGTCTCTGGCCAACCACGCCTGTATAATGAGCCAATAGCAATAAATATACAGAATTAATTAACAAGAGATCCCGATTATATGGAAGAAAAAAAACTTTATTAGTACCAACTTTGGAGTTTTTATAATGTAGTACGAGAGTATGGCCGTTTTCTAGTACCATATAATAATTTCTCCCATCTTTGGATGTCGTATCATATTTTAAGATTGGGATTATATATTACGTAGGGGTTGAGGATTTATTTGCTTATCACTATTTAGGGTTTCTTTATCGAGTTAGGAATGTCTATAAAAGGCCTTAATCTTCTCCCCACTCCCTTCTATTCCCTATCTATTCTCTGTCTGACATCAACAAGACTTGCATGATTTGATTTGATATAATGAAGCAGTGTATGTGCATAAAGTAAGTTAAGAAACAACAAGAAAAAAATGATGAGAGAGAGGTTCACGCACCATTTGATGAGATACTGGAGCTCACCCTATATTGTTGATTTTCCCACATTCCAACGAGAACATAAGGAAACAAAACACTTAGTAATCAGAAGAAATATGTAAACAAACACAAAAACCCATCATTTTCTTATCAAAACTTCAACAAAACAGCAAAACTAAAAGAACCCAGTTTAATTCTCTAAAGCAATAATATAACCCACAAAAAATTGGGGGGAGAGTAGCACCTTGCGGACCCTTTTTCGGCGTATGGCTTCGATTTCGTAGTAGCCCTCGGCAAGCTTGTTGCGCTCTCTATTCTCATCGTCATCAACAACACCATCAGCCTCACGATCACCATCACCCCCAACCTCACCATCATCTTCACCCTCGCCCTCGGCCTCACCATCGTCAGCTTCTTCGAGAGCTTGAGGCTCTTGAAGCTCTTGCTGTTGCTCTTGGGGTTGCTCTAGAGCGGCTGCGTTACCTTGCAGCTGAAGAAGAGAAGCAAAAGGAGCATTTGGGTTGTTGCTGGTATCTTGAAGAACAACATCAAGAGGCATTGCTTCCCAACTCTTCCTTCTTCCTCCTCCCTTCACTTTCATTTGTGCCCAAATCAAATGGCACAGCTACTACTTGTACTAGTGATAGGATTCTTCTTAAACGATTAAATCTACAGCTAAATTAAAATCCCACAAAACTCTCTCTCTGTCTCTCTCCCTCTCTCTCTCTCCTTCTCTACAGTGCAGAACCCCAATTCCCCCCAAATATGTTAACCTGGCCACCACTTCCTTTTCAAGCGTTTTCTCCCAACTCCTTTGTCCTTACCCCTATTTCTCTCTCTTCCTCGCTCTCTCTCTCATTCGTTTATTTTCTTTTTCTTGGGAGTAATGGTCAAGTTAATTAGGTGATTTGGCCTCTCTTTTTTTTCTTTTTTTTTTCCGGAAGTACAAAAGTAAATTACAAAGAGGATTCCGAGTAATTCCTAAATTCTTTTGATCATACAAAAGTCTCATAGCCATTAGTGAGAAAGATTATGAAACTAAATAAAGAAGTTATGTTGATGGTGACCCACATTAGCTAAAGCATTAGCAACAATATTCGGATTTTAGAGATCTCAAGGTGCTGTAAAAGGTCTTGAATATTCAATAAGATACAATAAATTTGTCACAGTGGAGAACCATTTTTGCTGCAAAAGTTTAATAAGTATTTGGGAATCGCCTTCAATAACAAGATTGGAATTACCAAAACGCTTAGCTCAACCAAATGTAAGATCAAAAGCTTCAGCTTCCAAAACATAGGTAGAGAATTGGAGGTGGCGGTTGGTGTTTGTTTGGATCTGTTCTTTTGATGCCCATAGTCACAATATGTTTTTTTTAGTATGTATGAAGATTTACGATGCTTTCTTTAGATGATATGAGGCTTTTTTTGACAGTACTTGCGTAGTGATGGGATGTGCTTCAATGGTTTTGAGGTTGGTGTTTGTCTGGATTTGTTCTAATACCCGTAGTACGATTTTGACTCTGTACTAAGAACTATGATGCTTTCTCTGGATCATAAGATGACTTCTTTGATAAGTTTCTTTTTTGTATAAGTTGTTTGACTCTTTAGTCAATAACATGGATGGTTTCCTACTCGTGGTTCTATTTTCTCTAGGAAGGTTTTAACGAGACTGCCGTTAACATGCTAATAATTCTTACCATGCAATGTTTCTTATGGGTTTAATGACATACCATCTTTTCTCAACAACAAAAAAAAAAAACCAGAGGTAGAGAACCTACAATTTTTGTGTAGCCACTACTATTTCTAATAATAAAACCGGCAGCATATGTGCCATCTGATTTAACTAAACCGTCAAACTGAAGTTTCCAATTAGATAAAAGAGGTGCATCCCATTTTAACGTAACTTTTGAATGAAATCATTGTTTCTTCTTCTTAATTTTCTTATGCCAAATATCATAAAGAAATGTTTTAACATGAGTGCACGTTAGGTAATTTATTTTTAAAATCAAATTATTTCTTCGTAGCCAAATTTGCCAGCAAATTGTTAGAACTTTTTCCAAATTTGTAGACAATATGAATTGTTTTTGGCACAGCAATTCAATGAAATTACCAAATTAATTACCAATTTGACTGGCAAAAAGGATTCCAAGAAAATATTATTAATATGTTCAACATCATTATGATATAAGAGGCAATAATGATGGATAGAGAAAAATCTAACCAAATGTTCCCTAGTAAAAAGGCATTTTTTAAGAAAGATCTAAGCAAAATTTTAATTTTCGGGGGGAATTGCAAGTGTCCAAATTCATTTCAAAACATGTTGGGGAATGCTTGACGAATGCTTTTTTTGTTTATACAAGCAATATGGAGGAAGGGAGGAATCGAACATAGGACCTTAAATGCATGGGTAAATGTTTTTAACCACTTAATCTACAAGCCCCTTGCACTTGGGAAAGGTTTAAAAAGAAGAGTAATAGCAAATTTTACAACAACAAAAAAAACAAAATTGGTGAACGATTGGAGCCCAAACAAATTTATGAGTCTGTATAGTTAAATGATTATTGAAACCAAGTTTCTTTCATCCCATCACATAGTGTTGATTGATTGGTTTGAAGTTAAAATTAACTTTGAATCAAATTTATTTTTAAAAGGTAAAATATTTGGTGAGCAAATTTGATGAGTAAATTTTGTGACTTTAGACATTATTATTTATTTTTGTGACTTCCCTACATTTTGTGTTAATTCAATAAAAGTTTAAATTGACAATAACAATTTTGGGGGAAGGACAAAGAAGTTGGGACTAAGAAGTCTTGTTGGTGTTAGGATCGAGAACAATGCTGAAGTTTATAGCATTATAAATGGATGCTAATGGATCTGGCCTAGTGATACTTTTTAGGCCTCGTTTGGGATCACTTTTTTTCACCAAAAACCCGCTTCACTTTAAAGTTAAGTAGTTGAAGGTGTTCGATAAAAATAAAATATTCCGATTATTTTAAAAGCAATGGCCCTTTGACAACAATTTTTAAAAGCAGGCTTTGAATTGCTTTTCAAAAGAAACATAGATGAGCCTTCAATGAATTTTTTATTTCCCAAAATACCATCATTAATTTTTTAAAATGACATCACCTCCACGTCCTCATCCAACTCAACCACCTCCACCACCACAATCGACAGCCACTACCGCCGCCACCACCACCACCACCTCCTCCTCAACCTCCACCACCACCACCTCCACCTCCACCTCCACCTCCACCTCCACAACCACCACCACTACCTCCACCTCCACCTCCACCTCCACAACCACCATCCCCACCACCACCACTACCACCATATGATTAGCGCATAACACTTTCAACATCATGTCTCTTTTAGTCATTATTCACATTTACAACAGTTTTATATTAAAATTTACCAAATGGTTTTGACATTGCTTTTTGTACTAACAACACTTCAAAAATATTGTTTACCACACATGGAGCTGCATTACTTTATAACTAATTATTTTCAAAGCACATGCAACTTTTTTTTTTTAAAGTGACAGTAATTCCAAACTAGCCCTTAGGCTAGCCTTGGGAGTAATGGGCTCTAATCGACTTGGTCATCGTTCAATGAAGGAGTAAAAAAAACCTGGTCATCTTGTAAGTATTTTCTTGCCACTAAGCATGTAGTTCCATGGGATAATCTAAAGTTCGGTTAAATCAAAATATCCATAAAGTAGCTTTTATATTTGATTACTCCTATTGTGATGGTATTTGGGCTAGCCTACTATAGGGGTGGGCATAATTTCATGTCAACCCGATCATTAGAGTGTTCGGTTGGCCTAATAATGAGCAATAGTGGTGGGCATTTGAACAAGTGAATCGAGCCGAACTGAGTTGAGTAAAACCGGAAAAAAAATCATGTTGACTAAAATAGTCAAACTAGGCTAAAAACCAAACCAGATCATTTTGGATCAGTTTCCATCTCGGTTATTGTCTTGGGAAAACCGGTGTAAACCGAACCGGAATGGTTATGTTAAGTTTATTTATTCATTTAGAACATTAGTAACCCCAAGTAATAACTAGATATTTTAGCCCAATTAATACCAAAAAGTCTTAATTCCAATTTATACTCAACTAAATAACTACTCTAGCCCAATTGTTTTCCCTTTCCATCTTTCTCTCTTTATCCATTGTATATATTTTTGTTTTTATCCAATTTTTCTATACATCCTATTTCTCTTCTTCTTCACCTATTTATATTTTTATATTTCCAATAATAATATAGTTACTAGTTGTACATATTTATCTTTAAATTTTAACCATATTATTATTGAACTTTGAAGTTTTATGTTATGTTGAATTTTAGGATGATTTAATGTGCTACAAAATAAAAAATATGTATCAAGTCATAATTTTTTGTTGTTGTAATTGGGCTAAAGACATTGTAGAAATACAAAATAAAAAAATATTGGGCTTAGGCCAAAACTAGCCGAACGCAGCAGTTTGGTTAAATTTTCCATTTCTCTTGTATATTCTGAGTTGGATCCTGCAAGCCTGCATGGCTAGGCCCAAGCCCAAGCCCAACAAAATAAAATAAAAATCCAATGGTTTATTGGATATTTAATTTTCAAAAATAAAATAAAATGAAGCTAATAGGAGGAGAGGGGGAGGGGAAGCGTTTGAAAATAGGCAGAAGTGGGTCTTCTAAATATTAGGGCACAGAGATCAAAGAGAGAGTGAGAGTAGAGAGCAGAAAATTGTGTTGCTGTGACTTGTGAGAGAGAGAGAGGCTGAGAACAATGTCGTCTTCCAATGTGTTTAGGGTTTTCAGAGGATGCAGGGCTCTCATGGCACCGGCCAGATCCTCCAGCTCCACTGCTGGAGCTGCTGTTTCTGCCTCAAAGGCCGCCACTGCTGCCGAACCAAAGCCAAAGGCCAAGACCAAGGCCAAGGCCAAGGCAGCAGCTGACTCGACCAAACCCAAAATCCCTAACAGGAGCCTCGGGATTATGAAGCCAATGCCGATCTCACCAGCTCTTGGTAGCTTCCTTGGCGCCTCTGAGTCCTCTCGCGCTGAGGCCGTCAAGCAGATCTGGGCCCACATCAAGCTCCACAACCTGCAGGTCCTCATCCCTCCTTTCCTTTTTGTGGTTTTTGCTAGTGGGTTCCAATAAAATGCTTTGTTTTTCGTTATTTATGGGTTTTGCTTCAAATTTCTTTATAACTACAAGAATATATTTGGGAAATGAAAGAGAATAAAAAGGAAACCAAGCCCTAAACCCTAAGCCCTAAATTGCACCCAAAAAAAAAAAAAAAAAAAAGCTGTTGTCTGTTGCAAACAAAGGGATATCTGGACACCTCAGTCTGACTTAGCTGATGGGAGCTTGGCTCAATGCAGATTTACTTATGATAAAGTTATTTATCTATTTTCTTATCATTTTATTATTTTCGAAGTTGATTAAAGCCAAACAGGTTGTTTCTGCTTTGGATGAAGCTTTCCATGTTTAAACAAGCTGCGTTTTCTTATGTTAACTGAGTTACTGCTCTGTATTTCTATAGCTACTGGTTGCCTTTAATCTAGTTTAGTGTGGCTGGGTTATAGACTGTTCCAGGAGTCATGTCAAGTACTCATCCCAATATATGCATTGCCCTCCACATCACGTAGACTCATATTATGTTGGCTCATGTCTGTTCGCATCTATAACCATTAAGATCACCTTTTCAAATTTTCATGGTTTTCTGTATATGTTGACGGAATATGGGTTCTTGATCTTTAACTTTGATGTACAGTTTGGATAATTCACGGTTCTCAGTAGTCACTTTGGATTCCATTTGATGTTTTAATGTCTGTTTCTTTTTCATCAGCATGTTATCACATCCTTTTTGAGAATGCCTTTTGTTTGCAATT